AGATAGTCTGTAGACAGAAATTAGTATACACTGATTGGACACAAAGTATAAATGAATGCAGATATTTTCAGTGTGGTATTGAATTGGAAACTAAGATATTTTAGGTTCCTATTAGAGAAACAGAAAAACATAACATGGAATTCTCAAAACAGTGAAACTGGTAATATAAAAGTAGAAAAATGAGAAAAAATTGATGCTGGGATTTCGATCAATAAATGGACTTTTTATGAGATTAAATTTAATTCCAATAGTACATAAAAGTATTTTGATTGTATAGTGTGGTGGAAGGAACACTGAATTTGGCATTAGTGAGACCTAGGATTTGATTTTTGTTATCTGTGTAACTTTAAAGAAGCCACTCATCTCTGGACTGAAGAGTCCTCATCCAGAAAATTAGGGATTTGAGCCAGATGCTCTCTTTCAGATCTGACATCTATGATTCTACAGCTGTATGACACGTGAGCACAAATATTATCATGTATTTTCTAGCCTTCTGGAAAGTCATATATTTGTTCCCTAAATGCTAGCCTTGCCTTCAAACAAGTCACTTCTATTCCCATAACCAACTTCATATCCATTCGTCAATGAGGGACACACTAATAGGCTGAACTCGAAGACACTCATTGCTAATGCTTACTAAAGGAAAGGTGATAATTTGTTAATAAGACTTACATTCAACCTCCATAAGAGCTTTATAAAAAAGGCAAACTGTGATTATCAGCTTAGAGAACCCTGAAGCAGCTTTGCAAAGATAATTTCATAAAAATATCATGACCTTTAATGTATTATATTTTAAGAAATAAAAAAAGAATTCTGGACAGGTGGATATACAACGTTCCAGTTGGAAAGTATAGTTTCTTCCTTCTTATTAGGCCCAATCCTTCAGCAGACGTTTTATGCAGTCTTCACATATGCATTTCTTGTCTGCCCTTAAAGACTTCTCATGTTAAAGTGCTGTTCTGAGACAGTCTAGAAAAACAACTCAGTGGTTTTCCACTGCTGTCTTTGATGTAGAAAACACCTGATGAGGATGGAAGAGCCTGAGAAACCCCTGTGCAGTGTGTCCATTTTAGTGCAAAATCTTCTCTGAAATAATTTCTTTACTCACTTGCTAATGCCTTGATGCTTAACAGCTCACATTACATTTCACTGTCAACCTCAACCATCTGTAGGCATACGCCAAAAGCAAAATCAAAGTACTGAAATTAGGGTAGGTGACTACAGTGGAAACCGAAATGATGTTTTTAGAAATCCTGTTACAGTACTATTCAGAAGTATGAGAAATGGCATCCAACTGACATATTTGGTGTTCAAAACTTATCACCCAATGGTGAAAGTCAAAGGCAGTGTAATAGCACACTTACCAAGCTCCCAGAGATAATACAGATCAGTAATCTTTTTGTTGTTAAATAGCTCATTAAAGGTAGAAAAATGATAAGGAGGCATAGGCCACAAATTGAAATAACATTCACAATGTTAGAAAACACAATAAATGCAGCAAAGCATCATCTTTAGTTAAAAACAGGAAGAATCTCCACCATCCTCCTTGCTGCCCCACTTAATACTCTGCTGGGCCCTGGAGGAGGGAGCTTGGGTAGGTGAAGCAGAATAGATGGCCTGTAGAAGAGGCTGCAGTGAAGTTGGTAAGGGTTCAGGTTCTGAAAGATTTCAGTACAAGGCATGCAAACTCCAAAGAGTAGGCCTGCAGTTACTCAGCCGGAGTCAGTTTATAACTACTTACCTCTAGGCAGTTGACTGAGGGAGGGAGATGATGCTGATTGAGATTTAGGAAGATTATCTTCCCTGAAATAATTTCTTTACTCACATGCTAATGCCTTGATGCTTATAAATTTACAATTTAAGATAAAATAAATAAAATGAAAAAGAAGTGGAGTTAATATAGTTAAATAAATTAACACAGAGAGCAAATATTTTACAAAAAAAATGGGGGAATGACTGATGGCAGTTCCTTCCAGATGCCAATGGGAGGTGTGTGGAGGGAAGAGGAAAGTCCGAAATGCTGGATTGGCCAAAGAAGGTCAGAGCTGTGCACAAGAATGTTGCTGGGAGTGTGTGGGATGGTGAAGAAGGGCAAGGCCAGGAAGAAGCTAACTTTTCAGAGGTAATGACTAATGACTGTTCAGTGTCAGCTTTGTTTAGCCTCAACTAGGAAAAGGCCAGTAGGAGGAATGAATGGCTGGTTAGCATCAACTTTGTTTACTCTCAACTGAGAAGAGACCAATGAAATGTTTGAATCAAGGTACTTACGAGAGAGTCAATTGGAAAGGCAACTTTGGATTACCAGACAAAACACAGGCAACATAAAAGAACTTCATCTCAGACATACGTTCATTGATATTTCACTACTTTCAGGAAATCATCAGTATTAATTTGCTGAACTACATGAATAATTAGAAAATTGATCAGTATCCCATCTGCAGATTAAAGGAATGTACATTCTCTCATTTTTATAGAAAATTAGGAAAAATGCTTTCCTGAAATAATTTCCCTCCCCACCAAGTAAAACCATTAGTGAGTTACCCTTTATATTTGCCAGGAAAGTTAGAGTCAACACTCTTAACCAAAAAGCACAATGAAAGTAAATCCCTCATTTACCTGAACCTTGTTTCATATATATATATGAACACATACATATACATATATACATACACACACATTTGGGGATCCTGAATGAATGAGCCCATGTCATCTTGACTGTTTTGTGTAACCAATTATCCAGCCCTCTTTTGGTATTTGGTCTCCAAAGAGAAGTAAAATTGATTCTTGAAGAAACACTTTAGAGGCCAATGATAGCATTGGGAGAGGCTTTGCTAGTACATGGGTTAACACTTTCAGGGTAAACTGTTATTCAAAGGTGGAAAAATCTAGATGTTCAAATTTACAAGACTGGAGATAATGATGCTAAGCCCTTGGGTCATTAGATACGTGTTCTGTGAAAACTGAACTGATTACCTTAACTGTGGCTGGCTGATTTCCAGCATTATATTTTGAAAAGAACAGTAAATTTTTCAGAGTGGATTTTGCCAGTGGCTTTTTACAACAACATTTTATCTTTCATAAAAGTGTGTCTGACTATTGGTTCCTCTCCCTTTCTTTGCATTTTCTCACAGGACTACCACCCCTGCTTCCCACTGTCCAGGACAGAAATTTATTTTAAGGGGCATGCTGCGGGGTGAGACACACTCCCAGTTTACATGGGCTAACTGGAGCTTACTCTCTTTCTTCTCTAGATAAAATCATGTTTCTGGGGCTATGAGTTGTATGCAATGTTTAAATCTTTGCAACAGTGAGCAAATTAAAATGAAAACCTAGACTATGAAAAGAATTAGTATTAGATTAAAACAAACCTAGGGAAAATGTTTATTGGTTGTAAATAAATGACAAACCTGAGATTAGTTGATGGTGATGTTAGGTTCAAGCAAGCCAGTAATTTCATAGATCCGTATATTTTAGATGAAGCTTCCTGTAAAGACTGCATCATTAGTATACTCTTAATTCAATTCAGGCCACACTTACGGATATGCTTACATTAAGATAAAAGCCTTGTGCCCATCCACTTCACACTGTAAACTATAATTTCCATTTCACTTCCTATGCAGTCACCACCAGAGCACTGCACTTAGCATGCATCCTGCTGACACAGAAGAAACATTTCTTTTCAAAATTTGTTTACAGAAGGAGGAATAGGAAACTGCATAGAAAGGGGGCCTATTTTTCCACAAATTGAAAAATGGAGAAAGACCAAGTTAGAGAATAATATATTCTTCTCATTCTCTTAAGGTACCTCAGTAGCCTTAGCACAAGGAAAAAGAACTACTCCAATAGCACCACCCTGCTTCCCTTCCATGTCCCCAGAAATATTCCACTAAGGGCTTCTGTCTACTGAGATGGCTTTTCTTGGGCCTGTGAGAAGATGAAAAAGCCTATTATGAAAAACAAAAAACCCCCAAACCCCCCAAACTCACAACTTTCTAAAAAGGGAAGAAACTTGTTGTGGAAGATAGGACTCGAAACCTGGACCTGGCTGTGAGCACTGTCTCTTCTCTTATCTCCACGGTACCAGGAAGACAAGTCACAGCTTTAGACCTTAGTGACTTGCAGAATTTAGTCCTTTAGGCTGGATACAAAACTTTAAACCACCCGAGTTCACTGGTTTTCCTACCATTCTGGCACCATGAATTCCATCTTTTCCACTCAATCCCAACCTATTCAATCTATGTGACTTTGGGCAAGTAACTTTACATTTAAAGATGTTTTCTCATCTCTAAAATAAAAATGAGATAATAAAGACTGTAACTCTAGCATGACAGAATAGGATTCTATCTGAGACTTCTTAACCTGAATACCTAGGCTGACTGGACAACATTTTAGATTTTAGTTTCCCTCCAGTCTATCCACCAACATGGACAAAGTTCCCTTAGTTCTACCCCCTCCTCCCTTTAAAGTCAAATCATCGCACTGCCTAAAATCTACAGTCACTTTTTTTCCTAATACATTAAACTTAAAAAAAATTTCAAAATCATCTTTAATTTGGTCCTTTGCCACACAACATCCTTCCCTAAGTATAGCATAACAAATATGCAACACTGATATCTGTCTTCTGGATTTTCTGCATGATTTCTTCTTGCAAACTCTTTTTTAGTCTACCTATTCAACCAAATCCCCTTTCCCCAAACAACTTACCAAATCACTCTGGCCTTTTACTTACCTACTGTCTGTCCTTGGAATTTCCTGAGTACTAGAGCAATGATATCAAGCTCTTTAGTATAGTCTACTTTGTATTGTCATGTAACTGCTGTGTTTATTCATGTCTCTCCAAGAGACCTTCTGTCAACAAAAGTTTTATATTAAAAATCTGTGTACTCCTTCCCCTGCTATCACCTTACACAACACCAAGCACTTGGAAAACTGATGTGAACATGCGTTTTCCTTCCTAATGTAGGCCAGATCTCTTCTACCAACAGCAGATTACAGTAAGCTTTTTTTTTTGATTCATTTATTTCAAATGGCCAGTAGAATTAATTTTGCAAAGGTGAAAGGGTATCTGCTGTTTTTATCAATCTCGGAAAACAATCTGTGATTTCTCCTGGCCGATCATAACCACCAATGCAAGTAATTTAAGGATCTCCTGTCTGGTGACTGTGGGGTGACACTGCCATCTAGTGGCCATTTTTCAATGCAGGGGATGTCTCTCTTCTGGCCTACTGGGTGATGCTGATACTCAATAGACCTACACTACCATTAGGGACACATACTGAAACGCTCACTTTCACCTCTCACTGGATTATAGTTTTGAGGCAGAAACCATATCTTACGTATTTTCTTTCTTTCCTACACTCAGTGAGTACAGTTGATCCTTGAACGTGGGATTTAGAGGTGCTGACCCCCACCCAGTTGAAAACCTACCTATAACTTTACAGCCAGCCCTCCCTTATCTGCAGATACAGCCAATCTCAGATCACGCAGTACGGTAGTATGCATTTATTGAAAAAAAATCTGTGTATAAGTGGACCCTTTCAGTTCAAACCCATATTGTTTAAAGGTCAAATACATTTGCTAATGTTGACGCAAAAAATATCTAGACTCTCCCAGCTAAAACTATCGGAAACAACTTTTCACTCCTCATCTCTTCTACCTCCCTCCACCCCTAACTCTTCTACTTCTGCTCAGGCTGCATAAAAACTGGGAACTGTAAAAACCATGGTAGGACTATCTTAAGTTTCTGTTCCCATGACCACATTACCAACTAAAGCAGCAGAAAACAAAATTAGGGCATTATTGGCTTATCCTTAAAACTAGAGACTAAAAAAACAGATGGCAGTAAATTCTTCCAGTGGCTACATAAAATGCAACCAAGCTGTTAGCAGACTTTCAGAAAGATAAACTTCATTATAATTATCATTCCAATAGCTATACCTTAAAGTGCTAGGCATTGTTCTAAGTGCTTTCTGAGCACTATCTCATGTAATGCTCAAAACAATGTTACAAAGTAGTTATAAATTTTAACAGAGAGAAGGGGAGATAGAGGGAAAAACTATGATTTGCCTAAGGTTGTTTCCACTAGTAGTGGAAAAGCTGTTATTATGAAACCAAACAAATCTAACTGCTTTTGGTAGAGAACAACAACAACAAAAAGTGATATTTAGATTAAAAAAACCAAAACCTTGTATATTCCTAATAGAAATTACTTGGAAAATTGGATTGCTTTAGCAGAATTACCATAGTTATTCTTTAGAAGACATGTATTGAATGAGTCAAATTTATCAATGAAAGAGGGTTTATTTTATCTATTTATGTATATCTGCCTTGGTCCAAAAAAATACTAAAGGTGGCTAAAAAATGGACATAGTAAATTTTTGGAAAACTTTCAAGATCTTATATATATTATTCTCCCCAAAAGCTAGCTGCTTCCAAACTTGATTTAATATTTTGCATGTTTTCTCTCCGTTGCTTGGTAAATATATTTGCTTCTCCTTTCTGCAATCGACGTCTGACAGCTGATTTTTGCTGTTTTGTCAACTGACGTTTCACCTTCTGTTTCACCAATTCCTGGAAAGATTTCATGAATTAGTATCACAGATAACTAACCATTCTGATAAGGAGTAAATAATCAATGAAAGAAAGATCTACAGTGATAATATTCCTCAAATTTCTGTTAAAAGCATGAGTTTTAAAGATTCGAAACACTGACAGTACTAAATGTACAAGCAATAAAATAAAACACTAAACTGTTATAGAAGATGTGGAATTAAATTCCTAATAGAAATAGAGATTATAGCAAAAGGAGTACATTGCCACAATTCTCTGAATAACAAATCATCATAGCACCACCTAGTGTCTATCAGGAAAACTGGGAAAAACTAATCAACCAACCAACCAAAACCCAAAAAAATCCCAAAAGCAAAACCCAACAAGATTTAAAACAAACAAACCCCTGCTTATTTCTTTGTTTTCTAGGTAAAAGTAGGCATGGATTTGTAATCGAAAATTATGTTTGAAAGCATTTTCTACTGGTCAAAATATATTCAAGAGTGCCTTCATAACTTTAGGTGTAGAAATGACCTGATGGCAGCAGTTAGCCATGGAAAAGTCCTCATACACTTTATGGGAGAAACAGCTTGTTTTCACATGGTGAATAATCATAAATTCTTATCACTTAAGGCTGTCAATGTCACATGACTTGTAAGGAAAAAAATCTGCACATTCCATTCACAGTAACTTTTTTTTTCCCCTCTGAAGTACTTCAGCTATTATTCAATTGTATATAACCTGCATCATCCAACTTGTCTCCTGAAAAAAGAGAAGTTAAACACTAAACTGAAAACACTGAAAAGGCTGAAGCAAGGATGTCTCTTAATATGCTCCACCTTATGTGAGGCACAAAGAATCATTTATTAACAATCTGTCAAGTTGAAAATAATTAAAAATTAATGGATTTGAAAGGTAAAAAGGGTCTATAAAAACTAGTTTCTTGGACCGTATATGTAGAAAATAAAACTCTGGATCAGATAAGTTAAATGCAGGCTTTGGATTATTTTACATAGTTAGGAAGACAGGACAGGCTTTAACAAGTTATCCCTCTTAACTTTAGTCTAATTATTCTTGATGGAGGAAATATAAGAGAAAAGAAAGGGAAACAGAAGAATCAGAATTGAAGTTCCTGCAGAGGCTGATACCCTCGCAAGATCCAGTTCCAGGAAGGCCAGAGTATTAGAAGGACCTGGATGGTATTCCAGAAGTTTCAGAATTGAAACCATTAGGATTGAAAGTTTAACACAGGAGTGACTGGCCTCTAGGACCCTTCTCTAGCTCAGGAATCCATGCAACTATTACAGCCTCCTGACTCCAGCAAGAGACTAGAATCTTTAATCATAACAGTATCACCTTAAATACCACAAAGACAACAGTGCAATACCTTCAGAATTCTGAAGGAAAATTATTTCCAAATCACAACTCTAATACTTAAATTCACAATCAAGTGTGAGGACAGGATAAAAAGAACTTTTTTGTAATAAAAAGTCCCCTACCAAATTCACCCAAGTAATTATTAAAATCCATACTACCAGATAAAGAAGTAAACAAGGTAAGAAAAAAAAGAGATGGAACAAGGAAAGGAGACTAGGGCAACTAGGCAACTAGGGTAGAGCACGCACCACATTTAACCAGAGGAGTTCGACAGAGGCCTCCAGAGTAGTCCCAAGAAAATAAAAATCAATCTCTTTTCTAAATATTCTACATGAATTTCCCCTTGGTTCTTTACTTCAATGAGACCACAAAATAATCTTATCAAGAATCTAAAGAAAGTAAGGAAATAATAGATTACTATGCATGTACTTACTCCTAATCCAGAACAATTTACAAGTCCTACGTAATTTTCACGTTAGAAAAAGGGGGGAAAATCCACATTAGTCCATTTTTAAAAAAATGATAAAGTGGGAAATGCAGCTGACCCTTGAACAATGAGGGTGTTATGGGCACCAATTGGCTGCGCAATAAAAAATCTGAGTATAATTTACAGTCAGCCATATATATCACATCAGAGGTTCCTCTGCGGCTGCGGACTCAAGCAACTGCAGATCATGTAGTACTGTAGCATTTACTATTGAAAAAAATCTGCATATAAGTGAATCCACATAGTTCAAACCTGGGTTGTTCAAGGGTCAACTGTACTTGTGTATTATTTCAGGGAGTACATATAAAAATCATGTACTTTATTGATGTTTTGCTATTGTTGATGGTGGCCGTGTATATATTTATTTAAAAACAACATACCTTAAAGGTTAATTATAATTTAATTGTTACATACTAGAAAAAAATATGGCTCGTAAATGGCAACTTTGCCAACAAACAGGGATCTACAGAAGTATTTTAAAGAGGAAAACAATTTTGATTTTAAAGAACACTTTTGCAGACACAAAAGCAACAATCATCAAATTAATAAAGGTAATAAAGAGTTTGTTTTCTCCTAACCTTTTAACAAAATGGAATATGATCTCAAGAATAACAATGTGACCAAATTTTCAAACGAATGTTAAGTTAATATGGTCAATTTCTTTCCAATGATAAGAGGGAAATCTTTTTGATCAAGCTAGGCTGAAAAGATCTTTTTTCCCCTTAGACTAAAGGTAGATTTGTATTTTATAATGCAAGTCATTATAGGCTTGATTCCATTTTAAAAAGTTTCTGCTGTTAGCTGTAAGTTAAAAAGGGTAAATCAAAACCAAAAGACAATGTTACAGTCACCATCCTTATATACAGTAGAGAGCATCACCTAGAATTTGAGGAAATAGCAGGAGTTAGCAATCCAACTTTTCTTTAGATGTAACTGCCAATTTTGTACCACTGTAATTAGATATAAAAGCACTTGTGTTTTGAATCTGAGAAATCAAAGGAGGGTAAATAAATCTCAGTAAGTACAGAAAATATCAAAGCCAAGAGTGGACAGGCAATCATCAAATGTGAGAAATTCTTAATAAAGATGGGTGATAATACTTCATTGGAGATCTCACTTATCATAATTAACAGCTGTTTCAAAGATTTCACAGATTTAAATTTTATGTCCACAAAATCAGGTGAGTTATGAGGCCATGAGAAAAGAGTATATGAAATCAGTGCATTTATAGAATTTTATTCTTTTAGTCTGACAAGTTCTAATCTTTCTATTATTGAGCAAAAACCCCAGAATTACTAAGAATGCACTATATTACAAAACACAGTACTGTTATTTTTAGCTTATTTGATAATTCTGATTTAACTTTGCAAATGTCCCCTATTACCCACCACAGAGCATACATTTTTAACTTATTAACAATATATATGAACTGTAAAAATGAGAAGTTTAGGGAAAAAAAGTTCTTTTCTTTTGAATTCACTTTCCAATAATTTTATTTCCTCCCTTCTACCTTCTAAACTGTTTTTCTTCTCTTGCTCATTTTAAGTAAAGTTATCACTAAAAACTAGTTTCAATGGTATTATTCAACTTAGTACTTTTAGCCAGAAGGAAAAACACACAATACACCAGTTACGTAATTTTATGTCTCTGCTTAAAATCTACAAAGGAAACAAACTGATTCTTCCTCCTGGGTAGCCCCTAGAGAAGGCTGGTAGGCAGAAAAACTTCTCAGTAGGAAATGGACTATGTGTTCATTATCCTGTCCAGAAAATGTCCCTTATGCAATTTCTTTTGGACATTGCTGCTAAATGTCCAACAAAAGCTTGAGATACCAGAAGTTTTACATTACCTATTTTTCTCTTTCAAAATTTAAGAACAAGCTAGCCAGTGAAGCATGAGCATCTTCACTTATCAGTTCCAGTGCTGTCACTAGCTGAGGAACCTTTAGCAAAGTCATATAACTTGTCTGGGTCTCAATGTCCTAACTGATAAAATGCAGGGATGAGACCACACGAGAATTTTTAATGTCCCCCGGGACCTAAATTTCTATGATTTTTTTACTCCTTCAAGTTCAAGCTAATTTACATGCAGCTCTTTCCCTGAAATCTCTGATCATTCCAGCTAAAAACAAACTCTCTTTTTTACTAAATTTGTATGTCTTATATTTTCACACTGTTAACATGTGCAGTCTAAATGGCCAAGGTGGTCTTGTACATCATGTAATTCTCACAGTGCCTGAGTTCAGTAACCTGTTATGGTAGTGACCTAATAAACATTTGGAAAACATTGAATAAATAGTTACCGGAGGAAATGTTGAACAGCTTAAAATACTGCTCGCGGAAGTAACACTCAGAGTTCTTGCTCTATATTGTTTAGTATCTTCCATATTTTCTTCGTCTCTAAAATTAAAACAGAAATCAAAATTTATCCAGTTAATTTTTAATAGTTAATTATGCTCGATTAATTTACATCATTCCTTACATGATGGTTTAAAATTTATGAGGGTAGAAGTAAAGTTACCCACAATTCAGCCCAATATATTAACAGTTTTCATTTTTAGCTTTCTGATAGTCACTATCAAGATTTCAAAAGGGTAGAATGCTTCAGCCATCAAAATTTATTATCACTTTCCCACAATTCATTTGTCTCCTTTCCACTTATGTTCTCCTCTTCTTTCAGTGAACTAGAAACAAAGCTACCTCTCACAATCTAAATCCTTGGAACACATCCCTGACTTTTCAGTAGATGTAATGAGAACAGAGACAGTATTCTATGGGTAGAAAAACTGCAACGATGGAAACTAACTTGTTCTACACATTATTCAAAGTTTTAATGTATACAATGTATAGGAAATTCAGACAATATTAACTCCTTATAGGCAGTATTTTTCAGCACCATCTGCTGCTTCCACTTTGAATAACAAAAAATTTTGCCCAACATGTGTTCAATACTGAGAATTAGTTTGTGCTGAGAAAATTATTTAAGCTATGTAGTTTCTTCTATTACTTACTCAACATCACAAGCCATTGCCATCCTTAATTTTAATTTTACATGTTTAGTATTCAAGTGGTAATAGCCCTGAGTCTCAAGATACAGATATATGGAAAAGGAACAAAATTCTCATGTTTGGCTTCACAATAAAGCTATAAAGATAAAGTCTGCCTTAGGATATAAAAATATGCATTGACAAATGACTAATAAAAGTATTGTTGAATATTTTTGTCCTATTACTACTTTGAAAGAAATCAAACCATCTTTCATTAAACTATAGTTGTTTGATTCTGGATAAGCTATTCTAAATCCAAAAATGAAATTTTAGATCTTTTGCAAGTCTAAGCTAAGCCTGATTCATTAATATTTGAAAAAAATTCTTAAAAGAAAAGTGATACATTAATTTTAACTGTACATAAACAAATAAGGAACAAAGTACCAGAGTTCAAAGTACCAGAGAAAATTCACTGCAAGCAGATATTTTAAGAGAACATTTACTACATGTTTATTGAACTAAACATTAATCAAACATACATAAGATGAATAATTGTAAAAATATACCCATTTAAAATCTGATTAACTTATCAAGAGATCTGTATTAAATATTTGAAAGTAACCAGTTTGTATTTTAAAGCAGAACTGCATAAAATTAAATCAGTAGGCTATATGGGATCACGTCAAATGCTGAGGGTAACTTAAATTTTAAAAACAAAAGTTATTTGCTTTTGTTTTGCATACAATGGTACAGAATACAGCTGTCACCCCATATGAAAACAATATTTACCAGAATCAAAAGCATAGGTCTTTAAATTAAAGTAGAAATCTAATCAACAGAAATCTACCTGAAAGGCTGGAATTCTTTGTTTAATGATGACAAGGCAATCAGATGGGGGCACTCATTTTCATCCTCCTCAGAGCCCATGGGGATTCCTCCTTGACCATCTTGCCTGGTGTCATTTTTAGCCTCCCCAGAAAACTCAGTTATAGAATTGTTTTCAACAATCTGCCTTTTTACTTCTTCTAAAGCTTGACTGAATTCAGTCATTTCAAAACTGTGTGGATCAGCACTCTCCTCTGACAAACTGTCTTCCTTTATTTGCTCAAGGTCTCCAGATGATCTGCAATAGCAATCATCTATAGTGTTCAGTCCACTTTCATTCTCTGACCAACAATCCTTTGCTTTTTCTGACACCTCTTCATCAGAAAATGAGAATTCAGATTCCTCCTCAGTTTCAATATTTTTATCATCTGGACCTACTGGATGAAGTAGTTCATCATCTGCCTGCATTTCCTTTGTGTAGCCACTGGCAGAAACCTCTACATCAAGAGAGTCCTCCCTCCTATGAAAAAAAGAACATCAAGCATTTAGAGAGGAAAAAAAATCCATCTGACATAGATAAATAATTATTATTCTGATAAATTATGGTTCTCAAGTGAATTTAACAGTTTATATATTTTAAAGGATTTTCTCTGCCTAAAATGTAATACTTAAATCACTTAAGAATACAAATGAAAAAGACATATGCTTGCTGTCACTTAGGAATGAAATGGCTGTGAAAAGCGAAAGATATTCATAAAAACAGTTTTAGAAACTTCAGTTGATATAAATTAACTTTTATTTCAAGAGGGCTAAACATTTTTTTTCTTTAGGTTAAGTCAATCGTCCCAAATCAGAAAACAGTATCTTAACTAAGAATATAAAATGAGAAAATTTGGCTTTGAGGATGTATGTGTAATTACACTCCATGAATCAATTAAAGACAGCTCCTATAGTTAGTAAAGAAAAAACACTAATTCTGATCAACATTTGATTCTTAAAAATGGGTTATTTACACAGTATCCTATATTGAATAAATGTTTCTGAATTTATTAGAAACTAGGCATGTTTCTCTACCAAATTCAGTAATTTTAATGGACCATGGGCAGGCATTATCTAGTGTTTAAGTTCACTTATATACCACACAGCAATGATACTCAACAATGGTTATGTGTCAAAGGTCACTACTTGAAATTTTTTTAGATGAAAGTGTTAACTTTTAGAATGAAATAAATCTGGTATTTAAACAGAACTCTATTATTTTAAGCAATATAGTATACAAACCTGATATCACTAAAGGTTGGAAAAAGCTCACTTTCATAGCTGAAACGTTTCATGAAGAAATCTCTAATGCATTTAACGTCTCTATCAAAATACCTGTAAAAGCAAGAAACATTTTTTATATAGCTTTTGTTACTCAACTTTTTCTTTTTTAGCCAATGACAACACCTTATTATGACACTCCTACTCCTACACAAAAGAGAAATAACTGTAATTCCAAAAAAACAACTAAGTTGCCAGTGTGTTTCCAAAACTAAAACTAAAAGCAGAGGAACTAACAAGGAATATAAACTGTCAATAGCATACAGTTCCTATGGTTAGAAAACTCAAATTTTCTCATACTATGACAGACATAGGAAGAAATGAAAAGCACAAATCCCCAAAAAAGACCTAAGGGCCTATAGTTTGCAGGCACATTTCCAGTTTTCCTGTTTAGTTTCCAGTGTATCTGGTTATACTTTTCATCAGCTATGTCCACTAGAACCTGTAGTCAACTGGGAAAGCTGAAGATAAAAATAGACTAGTGACTCATTAGAAAAAGTATGGGGACTAACGAATGTTATGTTTATCTATGTTTAATATCCATCAGCTGATATGCAATAAATATCTAAAAGAGATAAATAATACTGTGGTTTATAGTGATCTGAAGACATGTTAATCTGGACCAGGAGAGGAAGAATCTCTAAATATGAGGTTGCTTTTTAAGCTACGATAAGGTAGCAAGAATAGATTGAATTCTCTAGGTTTTCAGAGAGGGAGAATTAACAGACCGGATGACATGGAATTGACTCTCTCCTTGAATTTTAACTAAATTATTTTAGAGAAAGATAAAGTTTGGAAGTAGGAAGACAATGCCACTATTCTTTCCTCTTAGGGTACCCTGGGAAAAACCTCAAATTATTTTAAAATTATCTTTTTACATATCTTTATGTCTCATCTATTAGATAATAACTTCTTCAAAAGCAGAGATAGGTATTATTTGTATTTTAATCTCTAGTGTTTAGTGCAACTCCTTTACCCAAGTACTTGTCCATAAAATTTCAAGGTAAATCACAATGTCTCCCTAGAGGATAATGCAGCTTAAACTTAGAATGTCTTAATGTGTCATTGTTTCCTTCTCTAATTCTGGTGGTTCCTAGATATTCCTTTATTTTATGACTATATTACTCCACATTAATAAAAGAGGTAATTAGTCATCATCCAAAGATATATTAACCACCCAAGTGCCAGGCATTAACCTACTAGTATTGTTTGTTTGGAAATATTCCTTAAATTCATTTTTAAAAGACATTTTTCCCCTAAAATAAGTATAAACATCTTCTAATTAAAAGCACCAAGAAAGCTCAAACTTTGCAAGAATGAATATAATCTATTATATCAGTGATAATGGTTATTATCTTTGAGGAAAAAGAGAAATTTTTTCATATTATTAACTTGGAACAGGAGAAAAAAATTCTCAGCCTTAATTTAATTATGCTCAATTGCATCATAGAATACAAACACATAAAGGAAAATAATTCAATCATATCTCACAACCTGGATGGTTTAAATGGTTAAGAAATGTGAGAAATAAGACTACCACAGTATATAAAGTGATCCAGTCCTGTCTCAGGGATGAAGTTTTATGTGAATTCCTTTCTCTTAATAAAACAAAAGCTAAAAACGACATGAGAGATGTTATTGTTCTGGCAACTGAGTCTGTACAAAACCACAACTTTTACTAAAGTCATAAAAAATTATTAAATTATGCTTCATGAACTCTCTTGGAGACAACCAGGGAGCAGAGAGAAAAGGGCAGAGAGGATGGGGTTCTAGGGCTCCCCTCTTCATGTCCCTACTTCTTCTGAGCAAGCTTTTATTTGTTTTAAAAACTGGGCTTCCACCTAAAAGTTAGTTTGAATAGAGTTTCATTGCTAAGAAAGTTTGACTTTCAAAAGTCTGTCAGATTACAAGGGTAATTCAAAATCTTTTGATGATTTATAAAAGTAGGCAGTTTCTTCATATTTCTAATATACAGCATAAATTTAATGAATAGGTTTTAAAAACAGGATCAAAGGACATTTTTTCCCCCACTTTAAAATACTGAGGAATAAGAAAATTTCTTAGGGAGAAAATCCTAGTAGTTTGATATCCTTTAATAAACCCCCCAATTTTTAGATTTTTGTCAGTCACTTTAAACCTGTTATTGACCCAAATGGCAGTATTACAAAGCTGAAAAATTATGACTAAAAAAATGACTGCACCACACATAAACACACCCACATCCCGAATATACCACTCAGCATTGGGATGAGATGTTGAAACCATTTGTGGAAAATCAATCATGGTGATGTGGTCATCTTTATCCAAAATGAGATTGAATTCATTGAAATCTCCATGAATTAGTCCATGATTTGCAAGCTTAACAATTAGTTCCATAGCTTCATCATATACGGATGCAGGATCTTCAATATGGTGTATCTGACATCTGAAAGTATTTCAAGTATGAAAACAGGCACTCATTTATCATTTTAATGAAAGCAAGTATGTGTGTATTTATATATAAATATTATTTCCATTCCATGTCTCCCTAGCAGCTTTCTCTTCATTCCTATCAGCATACAGATACGATATAACAGCTCTTAAAAAACAAAACAAAACAAAACACCACAGCCCATCTCTATTCTGTATCTTCTTTCCACTACCATATCCTTTCTTCAATCTTCTTTAAATTCCTCTACATGTTCCTTCTCCCATTTTTTCCTTCTCACCCTTGTGAACCCATTTCAAACAGGCTTTCATCCTCCTTGTTCCAATGAAATATCTTGTCAAGACTACCAATGACTTTCATGTTACTAAATCCAATGATCAGTTCTCAATCTCCATCATATCTGGTCTGTCAGTTAACCTCCTCCCCCTGTTTGAAACACTGTCTTTACTTGACTCTTGGTGTACCAACTCTTCAAGCTGTCTTTTTTCTGCACTGATCATTCCTTCCTAGTCTTTTTGGCTAGTTCTTCAATTTTTTTCCTGAACAATAAATTTTGGGGCTCCTCAAAGGTTAATCTTAAAACCTACTGTATTAACCATCCTTGGTGATCTCATCCAGGCTCATACACCAACTTCAATCCAGACTTCTCTGAACTTCTAGGCATCTCAAACTTACCATGTCCCAAATAGAATCTCTGATTCTGCCTCCCCCTCCAACTCTAAACTGTCCTTCTGCAGTCTTTCCCATTTCTGTAAATGGCAACTTTATCCCTCCAATTAATTCATTATTCAAGCCGCAAACCTTGGTATTATCCTCCTCTGCTCCTTCCTTCATAATAATATCCAATCCCAAACAAATCATGTACACCCCAACTGTAAAACATATCCAGAATCTTGACTTTTCATCAGCTTCACACCTACCATTCTGATCTAATCTAAAATCACTTCTTGTCTGGATTATTATAATAATCTCCTAATTTTTCTTCTTAATCCTATCCTAGTCTTTCAGTCTATTTGCAATACAGCAGCCACAGCCAGAGTAACATTAAACATTAGTCAAATCATGTGTCTTTTTAATCTGAAATCTTCCAATGGCTTCCTGTCTCAATCAAAATAAAAGTCCTTGTGCTACTGCTACAATGCCAATCACATTACACATACATAAATGTGTAACATTAAATTTACAGTTATCTGTCATATATATCCCCTCCACAAAATAAGTAAACAAACAAACAGATAAATAAATAAAACACCTTTGCAATGGCCTACAAACCCTACACAATCTGGTTGCCTGCTGCCTCACTGATGTCATTACTTACAATTTCTCCCCTACCCACTCAGCTCCAGCCACAATGGCCTCCTCACTGTACGTGAACATGAAGGCATGCTCCCATTCCAGGACTTATGTACTTGCTCTTGCCCCTGTCTGGAATGTTCTTAGATATCTGCATGATCCCCTCTCTCACTTCTTTTAGGACTCTGCTCAAAAATCCCCTTATCAATGAGACTTTTCCTGATCACCCCATGTAAAACAGTAGCCTCCTACACCTACCTCAGTACTTCCTGTGACCCTTGCTCCATGCTTTATTTTCATCCACAGCATCTACTACCATCTGATGTACCATAAATTTCCTTGTTTAGCTATTTAATGCACTTCTCCTTCCATCAGAAAGCTAGCTCTATGAGGGCAGAGACTTTGTTTTGTTTACTGTGGAGCCTAGAATAGTGCTTGGCACATACTACTAGACTGTTAATCACAAAGATTACAAAAAACATACTGTCAGAATGAAACTGAATTTTCAATTTGCCTTTAAGTTTACTGCTTCATGTTAATTTCCAACCTCCCAGAAGCAATATTCCACTTACCGAAAAAAAACTTCTTAAAAAACTAAAACTTACAATTATTTTTTAGGACTCGAGGTTTCAAGAATAACACCTACTTACAGAGGATAGCCATTTATGAGTTCCATGACCACTGCATGGCGATTATAATCAACTGGCTTTGGAACTGGAAAGTTCCTTTCATACAATGCCTAAAACAGGAAAACAGGTAAAAACTAATGAGGAGGTCATTAATTTTTAGGTAACAATAAAAGTAAATGTATCTGTCCACAACAAGAAGAAAAATGTATAAGCCTTTACAAAATAACAGCTAGCACGTGATTATTTATGTATGGCTTATTTACAACACAGAATGGGCTATACATAAAATTGTAAATCAGTTTACTTAACTCATTTCTTCACAGAACATTCATTTACTGGACACTTAAGAAATAACTAGGGTTATTTACTAGGGTTACAAAAATGAGTGTGAAAATGTCTCTGCCTTCAAGAAGTATAGGATCTTAGGATATGTATATCTTCTTCTATTTTGTAAGTGTCTGCCATTTATTGCTTAAAAAATTCAAACTGAAACAAAATTATGATTGAGGAACTATTCTGTCTTTTGATGTATCAAGAAATGAAATACTCTGATAGATTAGGCATTTTAGCTTACAGAATACTGATCTTTTTCTCCAGACCACAAATATTATGTGAGAAACAGGAACACTGCAGTAGTCTGAGTCAAATGTTACTACCTACCAACAATAAATCCATTTTCCCCCCTATACTTAACTTTTTCTATCCTATTACTTACAAAGTCCTGTTGTTATTACTGCCTTCAAAATATCTTAGATTTATGCCCTCTGCCATTTGGAAAGCCACCATTTCTAAGCAGGCCTTTGTCATTTATACCTGATCATACCAACAGTGGTTCCAGCTCATGCCACCACAACAAACCTTTATTCTGTGTACTAGTACCAACAAAGATGCTTAAGTCAACGCTCCATTAAAAAAAAAA